ACACTCCTACAGCAGGCAGTAGATATATAAACCTAACTAACACTTTGCCTCGACTCAGCCATCTAACTTCTGCAAGCATTGCCAAGTCACCATCCCGTGTTTCAGAACCCTCAACTAAAGCTCGAAATTGTCTATGTTTCAAGGCATTTGCAACAATGAAGTTAATGATTGTGATCCATTGTGCTCTTGAGAAATCCTCTTTTCAGTTTGCAGCATAACTGTTCTTGGTGCAGGGTGCAATGGTATGAAAAGAAATCTGGAAACTGTGGATTTTTCTTCAGCAAACAAATTAACCCCTTCTGTTTTCCAACCATGGAGGGAGCACCATCAGTTGTTACTGAAGTAAGCTTATTTAAAAAAGTCAATGTATATTCCTGGTCCTTCAAAAAATGCCACCAGCGCAGAATAAATGTCTTCTCCCATAGTGTGACCAGTCAAAGGTATAAATGTTTACTGTGCTTCATCATACTTTTTGCCATTGAGAAAACGCACCCCAATAATGAGCTGAGATATGTCTGAACGATCAGTAGATTTGTCCATCGCCAAACTGAAATAGTGCTTTCAATGTCTTTTAGCAGTTTTGAAAATAGATCGCCTGAAATGCTTTCAATTAGTCTTACTACAGTTGAATCAGACATGTGCAGTTTTTATATTTGTTTAATTATATCCTCTTGGTTATTAAATTCTGCAAAAAGTGATTTGCTGCGGTCAAACAAGCACTGCTTCATCAATTCACCTTTAGTAAAGAGTCTTTTTGATTTCGGTATATGTCAAGCCATTTTGAAGGAGGCTTCTGCAATGGCATCGCTGTCTTTAACTTGTGAATGGAACATATCTTGTTGAGTACAGAAATCCTTCAGTAAGGAACGTATCTTAGTTCTTCTTAAATTGCTAGTAGATACAAGTCTTTGAATTCAGGGTGACAAAATTCATGATGCCGTTGCAGGTTTGTTTTCTTTAACACAGCAACAGTCTTTTGACAAAGACGACACATCAGTTTTCCATTTACCTCTGCAAAAGTGAATTCCATCTCTCAAACAGGGTTGAACCGCTGTGTTCATCCAACAAGCATCTCTTCTTTGTTGCCATTTTTAATGTTTCTTATTAAAAAGAAAATTGTATACCAGTGATTTGGTTGTTTAGCTTGAAGCTTCAGGCTTCTTCTGTGTCCAAAAAAAAAGTTTCCAGGCCAGAACACTCTAGCCTGTGGCGGGCAGGGAGCTGGACGAGTCATGGCAGACACGAGGGGCAAAAAAGGACAGGTGCCCAGGAGCCCAGTCCTGGATTACCAGCAGGGCTGACATCCCCACGTGGGAGTCCATCGCTCCATGCGAGACAGAGGCAGGACTGCCTGGCCGCAGTGCCGGACCCAAACGTGGCCAGTGTAAGCCAGTCAGCACCTCCCAAATTGTGCCCGCAAGGCTAAGCAGCCAGCACTGCCCCAGCGCTCCCAGCACCTTCTCCCTGGGGACTAACCCTGTACCCTGCTGTTCCAGCCTTCCCGTCTACTTGCATCTTTCAATGCTCACCCCACCTGGGAGATGCTTCACTGTTATGGAGAAACACACAGTGATATGACTATTGGATATTTCCCGGGGGCAGGGCCAGAAACCAGTGCTCTCCCAGCTCCTTCCCCCCTGCCATTAGAAGCGACAGAACAGGGTGGCTGGTCCACAATGGGAGCCAGTTTAAAAACCAGCTACCCTTGCAGATGAGCTGCAGGGTGGCAGCAGCCCCTGTCCAAGGGGGGGTCTAAGTGCCCCACGGACAGAGGCTGCTCCATGGGAGCTTGGATCCCCGTGGACAGAGGCTGGTTCTGCAAAGCGGC